TTCTCATCCGCCCATCCTTGTAACCTATCTAGGTCCGATTGTAGCCTGCTTCTTCCTTCTAGTGTGCCCACGTCCCCACACATCTTAGTGTCATCAGCAAATTTGAACAGGGTGCTTTTTACCCCCTCGTCCAAATCACTGATGATTTGGTATTTGATCTTTCCCCCTGCCTATCTTCTCCTTTTTCTTGAACTTGCAGTTTCATCATTATTTCCATGGTAACATCCTATGATATCATAAACAAAACATGATTTTGGAATAGGAGCTCTTCCTCCCTTAGACTGGGTCGCTTTTTCACTATCATCATCTCAGATAATAATGTTGAAGACAGGAGATTAACGCCACAGAAGCAGAAAGGTTAGATAGGAACAAGATAATCACCTGCTATTTCAAAAGCCAGATTTTCAAAGATGTTCACATAACTGAAGATGCAGCAGAAACTGACTGGGTTTTTGGCTCTCCCCCTCTGTGTCAGTCTGCATCTTCTAGCATTTAAATACTTTTAGAAATCTGGTTGTCTGGGTAATGACTCCAGTGACAGGGCTTCTATAAATTCTCTTGCATGACTGCTCTGTAGGAAGAGGTATCTTCTGCCTGACATCCAGCCTAAGCTCTCCATTGATTAATGCCATTCAGTGTAACCCTGTGGCAGCTGTATACACTTAAACTACTTCTCTAACTCTCCTCAGACATATGAAAGGCCTTACCTGACTCCAACAAAGTCATTAGTGGATCTAGAAGCAGAGTACTCTGGCCCTTGAAGTGACTATGTTAGCTGTCCGGGATTTTCTCTGAAGGCATATCACACTGTGGTCTCCAGTCATAGGGACAGTACTGATTCCCATGCATCTCCCGCCCACTCTGGGAGCCTTTCTCCCCAGACACAGTAACCTGTATTTATCCAGGATATGATTATGTCCTGCCCATGCTTCAGACCTCTCTATCATTGATTGTGAAGAATGGCTTCTCTGTCTTCAGTGACGCATGCAACACCTCCCCATCTAGTTTCCTCTGTGCATTTAGATACCCAGTGCACACCGATTTTGGTGCTATGTCCCAGAAAGCAGTACTTACGGATTACTTCAACTTTGTACGTTGCATTAATTTCCCCAACTCTGTTGAACACTCGGCACGTGTATTTGCCACTGTCCTCCGGCTTCAAGTTCTTCAAATTTAATGTCCATTTCTTTTTCTTGTTCTCCCCAATCTCCTGCGGGGTGAGGGGCTTATTGTCCTTCAGCCAGGTAATGTCAGGTCGTGGGTTCCCACTGGCAACACATTTCAGGCGGACAGAGCTCCCAACAGGACGTGCGATCACTCTCCGCCTCATCTTGGCCGGTTGTGTGAACCTGGGCCGGGCTGCAAAAGACATTAAACATTGACTATAATAGGCAAGGTCCATGATGGATGATACAGCCAGGGGGTGATTCTGCCGCCAGCTGGTTCTGCCCTCTTCATTTCTGAGGCATCTAGCTCCAAATAAGCCAGGAGTGCCCATGTATCACTAGTGCATACACTGGCAAAGACAGCTTCCTTCAGTAAAGTAGGTCCTATGTAGGTTCATAAATTTTAAAGCTGAGATAATCTGTAATATAGTTGCATTGCTTGAACCAACTGCCATAAGTACTGGGCCAAATACCCACCTAACTGATATAGGTCAATGTCTCGGTGCCATAACTGAAGACAGAATTTAGACATGGATGGTGTCTATACATGTGATCTGGGGTGGGGGGGTGGGCGCTTTAATTAGAGCAACTCTGTGAGCTGCTCTAATTAAACTGCCTGCAGGGTCACGTGTATTCAGCATCCCACGCTTCAAAATGGTGGTGAGAGCGTTTGCAATAAAGTTCATTCGATGAGCTTTAGTTAAAGCGCCCCTGCCACCATTCTGAAACACGGTGATGCTGAATATACATGACACGGAGGCTGCTGGAGCATGCTAATTAGCATGGACCAGCAGACTCGATTAATTAAGTGTGCTCCGATGCATGCTAATTAGCACATGTCAGAGCAGAGCTTCATCATGTGTACAAGTGCACACAGTTTACATTAGAGTTACTATCGTGTTTTGGGCATTGATGCTTTATATTCTCTGGTTTTAGCTGTGATCAGAAGCAGACGGGTAAAAGTCCCCCAAGGCTGACTGTTTTCATGATTTCTCTGTGAAGAGCTAAACACCTCCAGCACGTACCAGCTTTAATGAGAGAAGAGAGGGCTCAGCATCTCTCAAAACATAGTCAACCATACCACAAAGTCAGGGAAATTGGGAAACTAACCTAGTTCTCTCCAGATTGCTATACCAATTCTGCCAAGCCCATAGGTTTGGACTATGACTGGACATTCAGGCTTTTCCACGCTGATCTGAACCTTCCAAGATTCACCCAGCATTGCTTTATGAAGTATACACAGCAAAAAAAAACCCACTTGCAAGAACAAAACATGGCACAGACTTTTGTGATTAGTAAGAACTATAACCCAACGTAACCCAAGTAGCAGATGCAGTACTCCTCAAGCTACCAGTAGACTTGACGAAGAGTTGTGGGTTATGTTCCAACCTTACCTTACTAGAGATGGAGAAGCACAAATATTTTCACTACTGCACCCAAAAGAACAAATTCTCAAGTGGAAGCTCACATGGAACCAAATCCTCAATTCAGAAATAATGGGATACAATCTTCTAAAGACCCACAGGAAATTAACCATTAAACTCCCATCAAATTTCAATTATTGTTTAATGACTTTCTCTGTCCCTTTTCAGGGGAAAAGAGGTGACACAGTCTTATTCAAGTGGCTTTATTACTTTTGCTGAGTATCCTTCCTGTATAACCATTAGAAGGTCTAACCGATCAAAATACTGAAAAATACAATAGTCCTAAGAATGTAGAAATGTCTTCACATGCTGGATTCAAGGCGAGAATCATAACTAACAGCAGCGTGGAGTAATTTAGAAGAAAGCAGAAATTCCCACAAGCACTCAAACTGTGCTGTACAATAACCAGGAACATTGCTAACCCTAGTTCCTCCAATTACTATTAATTGATTCTCTTAGGCCTGAGTCCTACCTAGACTCTTTCTATTCCAAAAATAATCCTGAAAAATCACCTTCCTCTCACTACCCATGGACCATGGTCCCCTCTTCTCATTCTAACTTCTTTCCTGCACCCGTTGGCTCTACGCAGCATCATCCCTATTTCCTCCTTGTTTCCTAACTCCCACCATTTTTCTGCTTAGGCCCAGAGCCAAGCGCCTCTGTGCTTTCTTGTGTGCTACCTTCTTCACTGGCAATATCCTCTCTGATCCTTTCTTTCTTTAAATTCCAAGTCCTTTCCTTCCACTGTCTTTCCAGTGACGCACCCTTCCCCACCAGCCTAATAAAATCTCAATTAGGAGATCTTCCTCCCAGCCCCAGCAGCAGCAAACAAACTGCATGTCTCAAGATAATCAGCAGAGATCCTGGTTTTCTCTATTGACAAATCCCAAATTCTCTGATTTAAAAACCCCAAATCCACATTTTTCCACAATTAAAATGAAATATCACTACACACACACACACACACCTTCTATATATAGGTATCAGTTGAACACAATGTTTTATTGATATATTTAAAGAAATTCAGAAGCCTACCAGTGTCTTGGTCATTATAATAAAATAAATTCTAAATACCTATACATTTTGGCATTTGATTTTGGTTTTTTTAATCATGGAAAATTAGAGCTCCCCCTGCCCCCTTCACTCATCAGGATGCAGGTCCAGCTGTAGCTCCCCTCCTCCCCCTGCTGCTTTGTGGCACTCAGCAGCCCTGATATGCCAGTGCCCTACCCCTGTCCATGCCCAAGCCACCACCCCCTCCCCTGCCCTGCTGGTGTCCCTCACTCCCAGCACACAGCCACCCCAGCCCTGTTGGTGCCCCTCACTCCTGACCTACTGCCCCCTGCCTGCAGCCTCCCAGTGTGTGAGGAAAGGGGTGGGTGTGTGGGGAAGGGGAGGTGTGTGCACAGGCAATGGGGAGGTGGGAGGTCATGGGCCTCCCCAGATTTCTGTGCCCACAGCAGGGTGCAGGGCTGCAGCTGGACCAGCTCAAGGCAGAAGCTGCCTCCACGGCTCAGTGGGCAGGATTTGGCACAGGAGGGAGCACTGTGCTGCCATGGCCACCAAGGTAAAGCACCTTGAACCCATAAGAAAGTGAACTCAAGTTTGCTTTTCAAAAGTGAAAGGGAGCCAGAGCCCTGCAGTGGCCCATACCAGGCACCAGGAGGCACTAGACCTCACCTCCCAGCCTGACACCCAGTGGGGGAGTTGGGTGATTTCCCCAGCCAAGCCCCCTCTTTAGCTTCCAGTCTTCTGAGGAGGGACCTCCCACCAGACCTCCAGCTGGGGTCTCCCTAGCGCTGGGGGAGGAGAGAAGCCCCCAGTGGGGTGTTTGTCCCTCTATCCCTGTGCCTAGAGCCAGTCCCCCTAGCCATGCCCCCTCCTCAGTCCAGGGAGCCTGAGAAGCGGGCCTGGGGGGAAACCCACCCTGTCCCCTGGACCCCAGCCAGGGTCTCCCTTGCAAAGGGGAAAGTGGGGAGGGAGGAAGCGTCCAGCAAAGCGCCTCTTCCCCTCTCTCCCCATGCCTGGAGCCAGTCCCCCAAGCCACGCCTCCTCCTCAGTCTGGGCTGGCTGAACCCTCCCTTCCACCTGGACCCCCAGCTGGGGTCTCCCCAATGTTGGGGAAGAAGGAAGAGGGGAACCCCTAGCGGGGTGGTTCTTCTCTCCCCTGCTCAACCTGGAGCCAGGAGCTGGGCTGATCACCTGGCCATGCTCCCTCTTTGGCCAGCAGGCTGGCTGAGGAGGGAGTGGGGGGGAATGGCCCCCCATCCAGCTCTGGTCCCCCACACTGTGCCAGGTGCAGGGATGAGGGAGCCCTCAGTAAGGGCCATTTCCACCCCCCACCCCCCCACTCCCTCCTCAGCTGGCCTGCCAGCCAAGCAGGAGGCATGGCCGGGTGATTGACCCAGCCCCCAGCTGCGGGGAAACCTGCAGTGGGGGCTTTACTCCCACACCCGAGCCAGGAGCTGCCCGGATCACCTGGCCACCAGACCAGCTGAGGAGGGAGTGTGTGTGTGGGGGGGAAATGGCCCCCACTGAGGGCTTCCCACCCCCTGTGCCGGGCACAGCGCAGCCAGGGGTCCAAAGCTGGGCTAGGGTAGGGGGGCATTTGCCCCCCACTCGCTCTGAAGTTGCCCTGCCGGCAAAGCAGGGAGCATGGCCAGATGGTTGACCCAGCCCCCAGCTGCAGAAAAGCCCACAGTGGGGGCTTTACTCTCCCACTTGAGCCGGGAGCCAGCCTGATCATCCGGCCATGCCCCAGCTCAGCTTGCAGACTGGCTAAGGAGGGAGTGGGGGGGGAAACAGCTCCCTCTCACCCTGGCTTTGGACCCTCAGCCAGGCTGTGCCCATCACAGGGCGTGGGAAGCCCATAATGGGGGCTGTTTCCCTTTCCCCTACTCTCTCCTCAGCTGACCCAGTAGCCATGGAGGGGGTGCAGCCACGTGATTGCCCTGGCTCCCCGCTCAGGTGGGACTGCGAGCTTCCCTGCAGCCAGGCCAATCAGTTGGTGATATCTGCTGCCCAGCCGGCAGGCCAGCTGAGAAGGGATGGGAAGGAAAGACAGCAGCCTCCTCCTCCTCCCTCTCCCACCCCCTTTCCAGACCCCTGCTGCCGTCCCAGAAGCCACCAAATGAGCACGGCCCCTAGCACCGCTGCTTCACTGAAGCTGGCTCAGGGGGTCAGAGCATTGGCTGCCCTGTGCCTCCTGGGCAGAGCTGCAGCCTGTGGCCTTGTCCCTGCCCAGGAGCTGGGCCCTGCTGCCCCTGCCAGCTGAGGTGGGTGGCAGGGAGCAAAAATGCCCACCCCATGCCCAGAGGAGGGGGGAAGCTGGCAATGTGGGCATTAGTCTCCTGCCCCAGCTAGAAGCTGGGTTGATTCCCCAGCCAAGAAGGAGGTGAGGTGGGGAAATCCACCCTGCTCATGGCTGCTGGGGATGGAAAAGTCCCTGCTGGCAACTGGGGGCAGAGCCAGCCCTGCTCTGTTGGAGCAGAGCACACAGCCCAGGGCTGCAGAGCATGCTGGGGGATTCTGATTTAACTTAAACCATAAAGTGATCTGGGACAGAAGTTCCATGAACCCAAATCAGTTAAGTCTGGTACTACATTGTACTAGGTTTATTTTAAAGCAGTTTTGGCCATTTTTAAACTGGTTTATGTGTATTGAACTTTTATTCTGTTACAGGTTTAAACCAGTTTCTGATTATTCTAACTAGTTTATGAGTAACTTCCGTCCCTAGCCATTGGGTTGACTGGTGCTATCAAGTCCTGCACTGGTGTAGAGCAGCACTAACATCGCCAGGGGAATGGCGGGAGTCTCTCTCTCAGAGCTCCCCAGGTGAATTGGGTGAATCTCACTATTCGTCATAGGAAGGTGCATCATGCTGCTGTAGTGGGGGAGCCACATCCACAAGATGCCCAGAGGACATTAGCTGATGAGCAGTCCTTATGCCCAGAAAAGACCAAGGACTGGTTTCTGGCTCTTGTCAGCACTCAGGGATGGAAGAGGCTGGTATGCAGCTCCCTGTGAGCAAGACTGTCAGTCCACGAGCCTCTCCTCATACATTTGGAAGAAAGAAGCCAGTCCCCTCAGAGGTCTGGGTATGTCCCCCACACACTGGCCTTAGACTGAGCCATATCCTCTTGATAAGAAACACCCAATAGTACATCTTCAGGGTCCTTTCTTGTGTGAACAGCCACCTGCCTCCATTGCCACCCCCTGCCCCTTGGCTGTCCTTTTGGGTCTCAGCCATGTCATGTTATTTCAAACTCTTGTGCAGAAATGCTTTGCTCTCCATGCACAGCCTTTCATGTGTAATCTAATGAAGTGGAGCAGCTTCGGCACGAATGTACTAGCAGCGACAGCTGAGCCAGCAAGTGTGACATACTAGCCCATGCCATAGTTTTTGGTGTGTAAATCGCTGGGTATTCCCTTGATCATCTTCTGAAACAGGAGGCTTCCCTTCCAGTGCAAACAATCGTGCTCCCGGAGAGCTAATTAACCCCTACGGCACCTCACACTGTGAGCACTCGAGGGCATGAGGTTTAAGCACCAGCCCTGGGACCCACATGTTAATAGAGCTGCAGGGTGCTGCCTTTATGGACGTGGAATGCCTGTCTGTGGGGCAAGGAAGAGGTTAACAGCCAGCCGTGAAATGCGTCTAAATTGTTATCTTCTAATAAGGCAATAAATTAGTCAGAGCGCATGCAGGGCAGGCCCATGTAAGGTTACATATCCACGGGATGGCATTCCAGCACCAGGGTCAACATATCACGGAGCAGGTCAAGAAGAGGCATATCTACTAATAATTTTTCATACTGACTGATGAGTTAATAATCCCGTGTCACTGCCCATACCCGCTCTCTGGTTCCAGGCAAATATTTCCATTATTTTTTTCCCCTCACTGGGCAGGTACAATATTGTGAAACAGAAACGGCATCTTTCCTCACTGCGCCGGTTAACAGCAGCTCTGCTTTTAACTCTCATTCTGGGCTCTGAGAATCTTTGTTTGAAATCTTATGTTCACCTGCTTTACAATCCCTCTCCCAGACACTGCAGGTAAAGCAATACTTCGCAGGCTGCTTTTTTTTTTTTTTCTTCTGAAGGTTAAGTGATTACTGTGGCCTCCAAAGCTGCTCCATCCTGTGTGCAGTATACTGAAACCAGATCCCATTTACACAGTCCTGAAATGTTTCCTTGACAAAAGCCTGAATTGGATAAGTTCAGAGAGGCCAGTTAACAAAAGGAGAAAGAAGGAGAGATACAGAGAGGGAAGAAACAGAGAGGCAAGAGTGAGAGAGCAGGAGAGAGAGGCATAAAGGGCCATGAGTTTGCATTTACTAAATATCTGTCCCCAAATCAGGACAAGACTTTTGCTTGATGAACTGCCCGAGCTCCCCATTACAAAGCATCTCTATGTTATTTATACCTTGCACAACAGTCCAGCTACACCACTCAGAGTGTGCTTTGTACACACAGACTGCACATTGGTACAGTTTTAAACACTGCCATAAGAAAGGCTGAGGGAAAGCATGAGTCAAGAGAGACAACAGGACAGTGTGGGCAGGTTTCTTGCTGAAATTTTGTTTACTGGAAGACTTCATCAGCCTAATTAAAAGGAAATAATTCACAAAGGGATGTCGCACAGAGTCTTAGTTGAACAGATTCTTTTCCCTGAGGAATATCTCACAAGCGAATGGATTAGTCCCAAGTGTCATGCCGTGAAATGGAGAGAGTTAATGCTACATATGCAGATGCCTAATTTATTAAGACCAGCCAAAACTACCTCCAGGGGGCACACCAGCCATGGAATCCTATTTTTCCTCTTGCCTCCTCAGAGAAATGAGGCAAGAATAGAGATTTGCACTGGTTTCTTTTCCTAATGTGAGGAATGACCCAGTTATTCCTCCCGTCTCTGTCTCCCCTTGTCAAACTTGTCTCGTCTCAAAATGACACATCCCCTCCATCGAACCTGAACCCTTCACAAGAAAACAAGCACAATCTCTTTGACTGGTCCAAGCCCTGTCTTCTCAGTGTAATACTGCCCTTTTCTGCCTAGAATCTGAACTGTAACACAATACTGCCATTGACTCTCTACTGCCAGCTCCTGGAGGAGACTCTTCTTAGCTCAGCTGGTATAGGTTTGCCCCTTTGAAGCAAATGCTTTCCATCCTTACTATGCCATGAAGATACTACCTAGCCACGCTGCATGGCATGATGACACCCAGGAAGCTGGTAGATGGCCACTCACCCACGTGTCACACATCATCAACAAACAAAATATTAAAAAGGGATCAATGAAACTGTGCTGCAAAAGCAACATTGAGCTAGTGACACCTCTGAAGTGTCGGTTCACATCTCACCCGTGTCTGTGGCGGCCAACAGCTGTTTTGCTTATTTTCTTTTAGAGGAGAGCTTAACCCAAACCTTGGACTTAGACAACTTAAACCAATTCTGCTCTGGTTTGAATTATAATAGCTGCTGTTGCTCTAGAATAGCATCCACCCAAACCCTAAGTTCTAGCACCTCTCAGCATTGAGAAGTTCTTGAATTTACCTTAAAAATAGTGAAAAATGAGATTTTCAGAAATGCTTAGCATTGGTTCAACTCTGCCCTTCATGAAATCAAAGCTCCCACTCAATTTCAGGGGGAGCAAATATACGCCGGCCCAGGGTGCCTTTTTAAAACCGCAGAGTAAACTTCAATACGATTGTCATGGAGAACCCTTCTGAGGTCAGCAAAAGGCTGCATGTGTAAGGGAAAACCACAGCCCAGGGAATGAATTCAGGACAAAACTGTCTTGAGAGGGAGCCAAAGATCCATTGTGGGTCACAAGCCACATTTCATGGGGCAAAGCAACACTGAAATCAGAGTAGATCAGTTCAGACTGATGCATTCACAGATTCACAGAAGTTTAGGGCTGGAAGGGACCTCGTGAAATCATCAGGTCCAGCCCCCCTGCTCTGGGCAGGAAAGACTGCTGGGGTCAAATAACCATTCAGTGGAGAGTATTTGATATTTGACCATTGCTAATAACAAATCGGTCTTTGCACTGAATTTTGTACCTGGCCTTTTCCATCCATTGAGTGCACTTCTTTGGTTCTGATTATGATGGCTAGCACTGATGGGGATATGAAGGAAATATAAAGAAAAAAAACCCCTCCTCTCTTCCTTACCCCACTGCTTTCCAGAATGGTCTTCATATTCTCCATTGGAGCCTTCAGGTACCTGGCTGTCCTTTCCTGAGCTGGCATCATCTGCAGAAAAATGAAAGGGAAGGATGTTAAAAATGTCCCCACACAGGACTGTTTGAACCAGAGGATGGAAGGGAATTGTACTGGCTTTGGGAGGCACCACACTGCTGAAATGCACTTAATGTGCATTTCGCATTCAATATCCTGGCTCCAGCAGCCGAGCAGTTTAATGAACAATTTTGTTTGCTGCTTTATGAGCTTTTCGGCAGGCTACTAACGTGATGGGAGATTAATCAATGTTTCCATTAATAGCTGACAAAAGCCCCTTTGTTTATGTTTACAGGTTGCTGTTCCCTTGGAAGAGCTGATCCATTCTACCCTCCATGCAAATAATGGTATAAATCAAAATTACAGCTAATTAAACCCAGGAGGTGGGAGAGACTTATGTGATCAGTCATACAGAACGCAAGGAGTGGAATTCTGGCAACAATTTTACCTTGCAGCTTCCAGAAAGGGCCAGGAAAGCAAACAGGCTTATTGGGGTCAAACAAACCCTCAAAGATGTTGAAAGAAACGCTTTGGGCAAGAAGGCAATGTTGAGTACAGATGCTATTTAAAAATATAAATTACGAACACAGGAACGTGTTGGGCTAAACCAATGATCCATCTAGTCCCATTTTCCTACCATCATAATTATAGTCTATTATCCCATTGCCTAGAAGCTGTGATTGTGCTCCACTGCACAAAGCAAGAGCAGCCCCTGCCCTTCACTGCTGACAGTCTAACTAGACAAAACAGACAAAAGGTAGGATAAAAACAAATGTTATTATCCCCTTTTTAAAGACAGGGAAATGAGGTTCAGAGAATTGCCCACAGTCACATAATTTATCAGTGTCAGAACCAGGATTAGAGCCATGGTCGCGCGACATGGTAATAGCATCTCATCAGTTGGACCGCAGTTCAGCCCATGAGTTGCTCAGGTCAAAATGAGCTAATGCAGGTGGCTGAAGTGAGGGATCCTTACTTCAGCACCTACATACACTGTCTGATTTGAAGTAGGACATTTTACATGGGTCAAGGCTGCACAGCTGGGCTAGGGACAGAAGTTACTCATAAACCAGCTTAAGTGATTAAAAACTGGTTTAAACCTGTAACAGAATACAAGTTCAGTGCACATAAATCAGTTTCAAAGTGGATGAAACTGGTTTAAGATAAACCTGGTTGAATGCAGTATCAGACTTAATTGATTTAGGTCAAACTGATTTATGAAACTTCTGTCCCAGACCTCTTCTTGGTTCAAGTTAAATCAGAGTCCCCCAGCATCCCAGCATGCCCTGCAGCCTTGGGCTGTGCTGTCTGTTCCAGAGAGCAGGGATCCCACCCCTCTGCTCCCACCCCTCTGCTCCCTAGCTGGAGCAGTGAGGGCTGGCTCACTGCCCTCCTCCCCCAGGCAAGCCCCTGCTGAGGTCTGGGGCCAGGGAGGGTGGTTAAACTTCCCTTCCCCTGAGTACGGAGCTGCCCTACCCTGCTTACTCAGTGCTGGCTGCAACTGTGGACTACAAATCCCAGAGGCACCTGGAAGCAGAAGAGGTAGCGATGAGCAACACTGCAGAGTCCTGTTGTTGTGAGTCTAGACTGCAAATCCAAGAGACCTTGGGGGCAGCAAGAAGAGGAAGTGAACTCAAAGCCCATGCTGTCTACATGCCAGAAAGCCATGCTTTAGCACCCTCCTGCTTCTGGCTTGAGCCACTACAGGCATGTGGCTGCATTTCCTGACTCAAAAGTGAATGCCTGTTTGTTTGCTTATTAGTTCAATCTTTGCAGCTTATACTAACCTGTAAAGACTGAATCAATTCAGCCTGAGGCTTTCTGACTGTCTGCACTTAGCCTTGGAGACTGGCCCTTAGTCACCTTAGAGTCCTAAAGGAACTGGCTGGGGTCATTGCAAGTTCCCTGGCGCGGCTTTATGAACATTCGTGGTGCTCTGGAGAGGTGCCGGAGGACTGGAAGAGGGCCAGCGTGGTTCCCATCTTCAAAAAGGGGAGGAAAGAGGACCCGGGGAACTACAGGCCAGTCAG